GGGTCGAGCGCCCTCCTGGCCAAATTCTCTCTTTTTTTTAATAATAATAATAATAATAATAATAATTATTATTATTCCTAATCCGCAGTTGCAATCCTTAGTACGTAACCGTTAATCAAACCGTTCACGTATTATGGTCGAACCTGAACCCAAAGGTCGTGGTGTAACATTTCCTCCACCCTTATAAAAATTTCGTCCCCGAAATTTGCTTGACTCTCATTCCTTTGTCAACACCATTCTTGTACTTGCTTGCCTCAAATTTTACTCTCTCTATATGAACCTTGATGATGTCCGCCGCTTGTCCCGTATAGTTTACCTCACCTCAAGTTATCTCCTCTTGACCATAAAAGGTATTCTCAACAAGCTCGTGGCTACTTGTCCCTTTTTAATTCCCCCATCTGGTGATGGACCAAAATTATTGATTCCCTTTATTGGTCCAGCTCATTCAGCACTCGTTGTTGGCCCTTAAATCGGAGTCAAAGTAACAAATTTCCTCCCCACTTATAGAAATTTTGTCCTCGAAATTGTCCATTGTGATTACCCTAAGCATCGCTTGTGGTAATCCTTAGGATTTTTGTTTCCTTTAATTTATACAACATGACCTAAAATCCTTCTCTCCATTTACTGCAACTTCAATGTGGTTGTGGCTTCTTAACCCCTCACATTACCTAGGTTGCACCTTGTACATATATCGGAACGATAACCATCCATTATTTGCTATACGAGATGTTAATGCTCCTCTAAAGCCCCAGGGTTACATATGGCGGCTTATCCTCTATCCCATCAGATGGTAACATTCTTTTAACGTAACTCTCGTCCGGAGTTGACATCATAGGTCACCTAGGTCCTTGTATCTCCTAACTCTGCATCTCTTACTTTCTTCCTCAATGCCTCGCCTTATCCCTTAATCATAAGCTGAATGGTCACCGCCTCGTTACTTGCTGCTTAGTGTTGGAACCTCATACTGCTGTTTCTACTTCCTGTATGCATTAGAGGCATCCTTTGCGTCTTTCTCTAGCTTGCGATCAACTTTATGAATCCTTTCCAGAATTATGACCTTCCATTTTGCTTACTTGCTCACTCCTGGCACCAAACTTAACACTTCCTTATCATCGTTTGACTTGGGAGTTCTCGTACTATCCCTTCTATCGTTCTTAGGTCTTGGCTGAAATTCCTCGTACAGTTTCCCAGTCCAAGAAATTTACACCCGAGAGATTGACACCTTTCACCAACATAGGCAATCATGGTTTCACTTTGAGGTATTCTAGCAGGTTCCCTAAACTTATATCCCTCTTACTTCGCTACTCGTGACTCTTCTTCTTGATATTACTTGCTAGTTCTAGATGATGTCCCTCGTCCTTGATGTAGTCATCTTGGTGCCCATATTCTCTTCTCACTTATGTACCTTGACCGATAAGGTTTTCCCTTCGACCGTTCTAGACCACCACACTTCTACTTTAAAGTTGCCTATTGAGCTTCTCCATTCTTGCTGGGCTTCTTATGGTCCAACTTATTCTCCACTGGAAATCGCCTTAACGCCTCCTTGTTGACCTTCGTATTCTTTCGCGGGCTCTTCATATCTATCTTTCTCCCTGAATTTGTCGTTTTATCAACTACCACCCTTTTCACCATAACTTTCATTCTAGCCTTGTGGTTTCCTCCTTACTTCCACAACTCCTTCATCGATGCTTGGTACTAGCTTTGATCTACTCAGTTTAGTAGCTCCTCGCCATACCCTAGAGCCAACATTTCCAATAGAAACTTTCTCTAGGTAGACTTGACAGATGACACCCACGACTTCTACTCACGATGGTGCTTGACCACGTCCCAACTATCTTCCTTCACGCATTCATTGTCCGGTCGACAACCACCTTTTTTATTTTATTTCCTATAGCGTCCTATGGTGTCCTTCCCATTTCTTTTACTTTTACTACCCTTCCGTTGTTGCTTTGTACTATATTTGGTCACCAAACTCTGTTGAGTATCTTCTCGTTGTTGTTTTGGGTCAAAGCTTCCAACAGTGGCTTGCCCTTGGTAGGATTGAACATACCTCATCCACGTATTTTGTCTCGACCGATGCTTGTACATAGCCTTAATCTCTTAGTCATGGCTCTTAGTGGCTTAACTAAATATCACTAATTTATCCTTAATTGGCCTTCTTTTATGGATGACATCCTACTATGTCGTACTCGCTCAGAGTGGGGCACCTTGGGTAAGGTAACTTAATGATTTCCTCCTTCTTGGTAACGCTTTTCCTCGTCGTACTCCACTATGCATTTTCTTGAACATGAGTCACCTGAGACTTGACCCATTGACTTCTTGAAATCTCGTCAAACTCCCTCTGGCCTTTTTGCTCTCCCTTGGTATTGTTCGCAAACTCTCTTCATTACAACCGTTTAGACTCTTTCTCGAATCCTCCAACCTTCATTAGAACTTCTAATGAACGTTGTACTTGCTTGTCCATACCCGGTTGATTGGATGATTTACTCCTACGGCTGTTTCTGAGACTCCCGCTCTTGGCCCTCTAGTTCCCACTTTAGACTTTCCCAATGGATTCCTTGAAATTCCACGATTTTTTGATTCTCCTTGATCATGGTAATTTGCGGGGTCTCTCAACCCCTTTTCATATCTTGTCCTCTAGCTTGCGCTTGACAGGTGTATAGCATGCCTGATCTTACCTCAACCTCTACATCATTTATCTCGTTGCTTGCCTTGTTCCTTTTAAAGGCTTGCTATCAGCCTAACTCCCCAGGGTCATGTACTCTCTTATCTACTGAGGTAGTTTATCTATAAGAGTTCCTGCATCATCATATGTAAACAACCATGACTCCTCTCCGCCTTGACCTTTTCAACTTCTTTACGTCCTTTCATACTCCCTGTAACCTACTTATTTCCTCCTTTGCTTCATTTACACTACCCTAGCTTCTCTTGAAGTCTAAGCTTTTCACTACTCCTTGTCACTATGTTGTAATAGCGCTGACCACTAAAACTAGTTGAGGGACTTCTCGTGGTACCTCTTCGTTTCTTGGCTCGTTGCTTACTTTCCACTGCTTAGGACCAAAGGCCCTAACATCATCCTATTATCATAGCTACTGGCATCTGGTGATTGTTCCTCTTCCTTTGGAGATTCATGTTTCTCCCCTTTGTTTGTCTTAGCTTATTAGATCATCCACTTGTTTCCTAGTAGTAAAATCCTCGTACTACTCTCTCAACTCTTTCACAATCCTTGAGGAATTCCCTTTCAATTGGCACCTCTTTGCTAGTGTTTGGAGTTGAAGTCCTCGCACATTTGATTCTACCTCCACCGACCTTTGCAACGTTCCTCCTCCCTTCTCTAGGTTGATGATGATGATCTGTTTGCTAAAGTCCGAGTAGTTGGTTAACTAATTGAAAAACTACTATCCATCATGTTGATGAGATACTTGGTCTTGAGAGCCTTTGAGATTCTAATTGGGTTGGTCACGTTTCTTTCATCCTTTCTTTCTTACTGGCGATCACCATATGACTAAATCTTTCATTTGACAAACCACGACATGTTAACTAAATTGCGTCCTAGCCTATTCTTAAACAACCGCACTCTGAGCTACCATCCCTTCGTGCCGTGCTGTCATAGTTATTCACCTCAATATGATTAGAGTATACTGGATATTCTATAAACTCTTAAAAGAAGATCCTTGACTCGTTTTCCTTTCCTTTAAAACAAAAGCCTTTAAAATTGAGACCGATATTCCAGTATTCCTTGGAAACCAAGGAACAGAGGAAGACCAGCTCTAATACCAAAATGTAACACCCTAACCCGGCCGGGTACTACTTTTACTAAAATGCCCTTGACAAATAAAATACTCAATCCTTAAATTGCCGCGGGAAAAATTTTCCTAAATAAAATACCGAAAACACACTTGTAGTTCAAAGCAAAGCCCTAACACGTGGGCAAATTAAACTCAAACTTTAAAATCTCAATCTGATCTCCAGTCTATACTCATAAGCATAAAATGTAAATAACTAATAATATCTAAAGTTGTTGCTACTGAAAACCTTGACTAAGCATCCTCCGTGACGCTTATACTGCTCTCCTCTAGCTGACCGCCCTCGAACTCGCTGCTCACTAACTAATCCTTTAGCTCCTCTAGCTCTTCAAACTGGTGATTGATATGGGGTCAGTCTACGCCCATACGTTTACACTTTATTAATACTTGATTACTTTACTTAACTGAGTGGAAGTTGTTTTGTACTTCCACTTATTAAAAAGCTTAACTCTTAAAACTGCATGGGAGTTACTGTTACTCTCCATTCTTAAAGCTCAAATCTCGACTTAAATACTTGACTGACACGAGGATCCCTCACTAGCTAGTTCGGTTGCCCAACTCATACGTATGAGAAGCCATCTAGGCTTTCCTTAAACTTAAACTTAGTTAGGGAAGTCGTAACGATTCATCCCCCTAACATCTTAAACTTATCGTGGTGGCTCTTCACCACGATTCTCAAGGGCATAACTGCTGCCCATCTTAAAAGTCTCAAGAGCATAACTGCTGCTCTATCTCAAAATGTCTCAAAAGGCAACGGACTGGCGCTAGTGATTAAAAACACTTAAAACGACTCCACCTTCTTGAAGGTGAGTTACTTCTTAAAAAGAACTTGTTTCTTAAACTTTAACACTAACTCATAGACATCAAGCTTCAAGTAAGAAATAACTCATCCAGAATTCACTTCAAATCATAGCTCAACCCTCGCACATATCATCAAACATAATCATGTAATATCAAACATGAATCAAATACTGCACGCACATCACATAAATCAATCCTTAAAAATACTCAAAGCAAATACTTGAAAAACCGTAAGGCATAGAATTTACCCCTTTACACTCACCTTATATCCGTCGAAACGAAACTCTGAATCTGCTCTAAAATTTCCATACTTGCTCCAAAATTCTGCAATTCGAACGTAAGATGCAAATGAAACATTAGCAGAATTTCATGGCATCTTGCTAGGAAGGCTCATCACATGATCAACCCACATCGGAGAGATCTCGCCCTCCGCCATTGCTCGGCCACCTCTTCCAACCCCTTCACCTCCACTCCAGGGGACTCCAAGTGCTTCGTGTGCCTACCCGCAACCGCGCCTCCACCTTCGAACTTTAAAGTCTCCGGCTGATCATCGAGCTGCTGAGATGAGAGAAAAGGCTGGTGGGTTTTAGCGGCCTCCGGGAGAGATCGAAGGAAGAGGCGGCATCGGTGAGTTCTGGAGCAGGAGGTCGCTTGCTTGGATTGGTGGCGGCGGGGGATGAATGAAATAATAATTGACCATGGGATTTCCCTACTACCACGGGTATTTGTACCCTCCTCCTTTTCTTCTTCCTTGTACATGCAAGCAACGGCAGTAGCAAGCTTGCGGCTCATGTTTGTATCTGCCAAAAGCAGAGATGAATGGATTGGTGGTTGCTTTAGGTTTAGCTTAGGGTTTCCCCATTTAGTGAATGGGGACGGTTGATGGGGAAAATACAATGAGGGCCGAGCGCCCTCCTGGCCAAATTCTCTTTTTTTTAATAATAATAATAATTATTATTATTCCTAATCCGCGGTTGCAATCATTAGTACGTAACTGTTAATCCAACCATTCACGTATTATGGTCGAACCTTAACCCAAAGGTCGGGGTGTAACACTCTAGTTCCATCATGATACTCCTGCCTCCAGCTCGAGTCTTGGTACTCCTAGTGGGGATAATCTTCATATAATACACTCCCACCGTGGATACCAGATGTTTGGCCATCTCCAGAATGACCTACACCACCTTCGACGGCCTCAGTGTAAACAAACATCTAAGCTTGTTTAATTTTATTAGTGGTCAAAAATTAGACCATGGCATCAACGTCCTCGAGTGGTAAGGAGGAATTCCTCATTCCACAGCGACCCGCCATGTCTGTTTGGATATCAATACACCATACGATCAACTCTTCTAGTGCCATCCATGCAGGTAATCTGAGTGCACATTTGATGGAGCTCTTCAAGCAACGGTCTCGTATGGACCTTCATTTTATAAAAATTGCCACCCACATAACTTACACCCTTTTCGCTCTCTTCCTTGTAACCATTCCACCGCAACCCAAGCGTTAACCTTTGGAATGCCATATGCAATAAAACTGTAATTAGGTTACTAACAAAAAAATCACAAAGGACAATGAAAAGTAATACAAAACAAACTTACGAATTAACGTTAATCGCAAAAACTAAATAATTTAAAGGTGCACAATTGAAATTTGAAGAAGAAGGAGTGGAGTGAAGATTTTGAGTTTTCTGGACCAGCCTTTTATAGGCAAATTTTACACTACAAGCCATAGGGGGGGAGCGGTTTTAGTCTGGCATGCAGCCCCCACTCCTACAACCTCCTGCATGCCGACATGTTGGATGTCAGGTGACCAGGCACAAAACGCTGGTGGGGGCAGCGGTTTATGTGTCGACATGGTAAACCGCTTCTCTGTGGAGCGTTTTACCATGCCGACATTTAACCGCTCCCTGAGGAAGCGTTTTTGTCTTAGGGCAACCATAAAAACCGCTCTTTCGAAGAGCGGTTTTACCTGAAAAGGCAAACCGCGTGTTGACCAGGCGGTTCTAAGGTAAACCGCAGCCTGGTTGTGCGGTTTCTATATTAACCGCCCCTTAGTGGAGCGGTTTTTAATAAACGGTGGTAGTTTTGGAAATCTTGGGAATTGGTGGTATTTTTGTAATTTAAAAAAAAAACAGTGGTAGTTTTGGATTTTTTCCTCTTTCTTATACCCTAAACATATACACTTACCATATACCATATGTCTTATAACCCTTACCATATATTCTTATGAGTCATGATTTTGCTACTATAGTTAATTTAAAATGAAAATCATATTTTTATTTTCAGAAAATAGATTAAAAAAAGATATTTGGTATACCCTAACTATATACACTATATGCTAAATCATATAACTTAATACCCTAACTATATATCATTATGAGTTGCTATAGTTCATTTCAAGTGAAATTTGGACTTTGATTTTCAAAACATAAATTAAAAAGGATCTTTTTTATACCATAAATCATATATCTTATACCCTAACCATATATTATTATGATTTATGATTTTGCTACTATATTTAATTATAAACAAAATTCAAAATTTGATTTACAAAAAATAGAGGGATCTTTGTTATACTCTAAACATGGTTTTGTCTAAGTTTAGAACCAAAAAATTGATTAAGCATATGATCTATAAGTAATTAAGTATATGATTTATAATGTAAAATAATATGCATTTGAGATAATTCGAGTGATAATATATTGAAGATAAGATAACTTATTATAGATTTTAAAATATAATATAGTCAAATAGGCATTCCATATAAGAGCGTAATATAGTTAATTAGTCGTACCCTTCATATAAAACCTAAAGATTCATATTTTAAAGGCTAAAGTATAGAAAACCCAAAAAGTTGAAAACACTAAAGTTGTTTTCTTCTTTCTTTTCACAAAACAACAAGGAAAATACTAAAATTCTCCTTCTTCTTTCTCCATACATAAATTAGAAACAACCAATTTTCCCTCCTTTTTCTCTTTCATAAAATTGAAAGAACTAAATTGCCCTCTTACTTCCTCTTTCAAAAAGTTGAAAACAAAAAAATTATTTCCTTATTTCTCTTTTAATAATTAAAAAAACCAAAATTTGCCCCTTTTTTCTCTTCACACAAATCAAAACCACCAAACTTCCCTCTTATTTCTTTTCTAAAAAATACAAAGCACCAAAATTTCCTCTTCCTTCTCTTCCCTAAAAAGTTGAAAACACCTAAATTTCCCTTTACTTTTAAAATCATCAAATTATCAAATAAATTACGTCTCTATTTATATTTAATTGCTAACTTTGTTGAATAGTTAAATTAACCAAAATTTTAATTTATATATATATTATAGGGTTAATATTTTCGTATGGCCTGAACTTTGACCAAAATAAACATCCTGGCCAATCTTTTCGATCTATAACATCCTAGCCCGAACTATACACCAAAATAAACAATTTGGCCAGATCTGACTTTTGACCGTTAACTTGGACGGTCAAACGCGTTGACCGTTAGTCAACGCGCCATGTCACTGCCAAGTCAGCATAAAATATTTAAAATAATTCACAATTTCCACACATTCCCTAATTTTAAATTATTATAAATTAAAAAAATCATCTAATACCTTAGTTAAACCAAAATTAAAAAAATGAAAAAATTAAATATTTATCAGATCTTCTGACTTGGCAGTGACGTGGCGCGTTGACCGTTAGTCAACGCGTTTGACCGTCCAAGTTAACGGTCAAACATCGGGTTTGGCCAAATTGTTTATTTTGGTGTATAGTTCGGGCCAGGATGTTATAGATCGAAAAGATTGGCCAGGATGTTTATTTTGGTCAAAGTTCAGGCCATACGAAAATATTAACCCTATATTATATTAATATTGTCCATGACCCTTCATGTTCCAAGAGCAAGCATCCTCATCTCGACATCGTCACATTCACATAAAGTTGTGAGGCGTAACAGGGTAGAAGCACACCAACGCTTGATGCAGCAGTATTTCGTTCCCAATCCAACCTAGGACGCTGGGTTCTTCAGAAGGAGATTTTGGATGCGCCTCTCCTTGTTCAACCGAGTCATGCCGTTGTTCAACACGACCGCTACTTCCAACAAGTCCGAGATGCTGCAGGTCGTCTGTCATTCTCCACCAAACAAAAGCTTACTGCTTCCCTCTGGATGCTCAGCAGACTCCCTAGACGAGACCTTTGATATGGGTGAGACCACCGTACTGCAGTGTATGCGCAAATTTTGTAATGCCATTATCTGCATCTATGGTCATGAGTACTTACGATCACCAAATGCAGAGGATCTTAGCCGCCTTCTTCATAACAACAATCGGTGTGGCTTTCCGGGTATGATCAATCGACTGCATGCATTGGGAGTGGAAAAATTGTCCAATGGCGCGACAAGGACAATTTACAGGATACAAGGGGAAGAAAACAATTGTTCTGGAAGGTGTAGCATCATATAATACATGGATTTGGCATGCCTTCTTCGGAAGTTCCATATCAAACAATGACATAAGCGCGCTTGGAGTCTCCCTGCTGTTCGATGAAGCAGTCTGAGGAAATCTTCCAAAGTCACCTATACGGTAAATGGTAAAATTTACAATCAATGTTACTACTTGGATGACGGGATTTATCCTGAATGGTCTACATTTGTCAAAACCATTAGCAACCCTAGTAACCAGAAGAAGAAACTGTTTGCAAAATGGCAAGAGTCACATCGCAAGGAAGTTGAGAGAGCTTTCAGCATTCTACAAGAAAGATGAGCCATTGTTAGAGTTTTGGGTCGATAATGGGATGTACATTTGTGAAGGGCATCATGCGCTGAAAGCGGATTTGGTTGAGCATTTGTGGACAAGAGCATGAGGAGGGGAGTAGAAATATGGCGTGGATCTAAATTTAATTTGTGCACTTTAATTACTTGAATTTGTATTGTGTGTTGAGTTTACTTAATGTCTTTTTGTTGTGCTTTCTTATCAATGTATTCTCCATTTTGTTATCAATGTATTCTCCATTTTCTGGTGTCTTATTAAAGGAAGTTGTTTGATTCGGGCCCAAATGTACACATTTTACCCCTCATTTCTTATTCGTTTAGCTTAGTATTTCATCGCTCCTCGACATATTTCACGCTAGGTTGTGCTTGTTTTGATACATTTCAGGTCCTAGCATGTGTGACAATTGCCCCGTAACAGTGAAGTGAAGGCGTCCAAGAAACAGCCGCAGTTTACGGTTAGACTAGGCAGTTCACGATCCTCTAAGACCGTGAAGAGGAGGCGTGGGCCATGAACATCAAGGCGCCCCTGGCCAAATCCAAAGTTACTAACACCATGCGAGTTCACGGTCTCCATTGACCGTGAACCCAGGAAGCAAAGCGGTGCATTTTGGAGACGAGTGAGTTCATGGACGTGTTTAGGTGTTCACGGCCGTATACTGGCCAACGCGTCCGTGAACTGATCACTTTCGGGCAAATATGAAGACAACAACGGGGAGAGAGAAAGGGGAGCTGGTTTTTGGAGAAGGAACACTTTCTTTCTCTAGGGTTTCAATCCAAAACACTAAAGGGGAGTTCTAGTGAGAGAGGGAGTGATATTGGAGCTTAATTGAAGGCATTGATCAAGCTTGGAAGCTAGGAATCAAGCCTAGAAGAAGAAGAAGATTTGGAGGTTTCTTTGTAATCTTCCCCCTCTCTCTCTAGAAACTCACTCTTTTATCTTCGATGTTGTAGATCCCTAACTATTACTCTATAATTACTTGTTTAGATTAATGATTGTCATTGGGTATTGTTTAATTCAATGATTGAGGTATTATTCATGT